TAACATTTTTACGTATATTTTGTATTTGTAACTTATGTCATTATTATTATTATTATTATTATTATTATTATTGACTATTTTTAAAAGAAACTTATATGTATATKAGATTTTTTGAAATTTTATTTTTTATTGTATTTTCACTATAATATTATAGCTCATAGCAGCTAAAGACATTAATTATTTATATTGTCATTATATATGATTGACTGCCATTGACTATTTTTAAACGCAACTTAAATGTAAATTAAATTTATTTTATGATTTTTACTAGACCCGGGAGAGTTTCCATGTTTCCATCAGGTAGTACAGGAATAGACCAGCGAGAGTTTACATATTTTCGTTAGGTAGTACAGGAATAAACCCGGGAGAGTTTACACGTTTCCGTCAGGTAGTACAGGAATAGACCCGGGAGAGTTTACATATTTTCGTTAGGTAGTACAGGAATAAACCCGGGAGAGTTTACACGTTTCTGTCAGGTAGCACTGGAGTAGACCCGGGAGAGTTTACCATCGGGAAAGTTTACAATCGCCCGACATCGGCATGTAGAACAATATAAACATATTAATATATTTTATATAAATTCTACATGTTGAAATAAATTGGCACGTAAGTCCAATGCTGGAATGATCGAGAATGAAAAAATAATTGGCATACAGAAACTTTGAGATACCCGCGTTGGAGATAGCTCGATTCACCGTATGATAATTATTGGTTTTTTAATTTAATTATTAAAATTGAATWAATTTAAAAACTAATGCACTTACAATTCAAAATTATTTTGTATTATAAATTAATCATTTCGAAATATTTATGTATAATATGACATAATGTATTCCAAACTTACTTGTCCGGATTTCTTGTGAGTAAACGTCAACGGTGTGACATCAGACCATACGTCGAATGCTTTCCGGATTTCTGAGTCTGTTTCCGACTTATCCAGCAGTTTAGGATACTTGGATATTTTATACGTCAAGTCTTTCACCCTCCACCGGCTACCTATAAATAAATATATATATAAACATTATGCATAGTATTATGAATAATATATTATACAACATTTGTAATTTGTATATAATATAAATACGTTGGTGTGTGACAGCACCGAATAATTAGAGAAGATTGATCGGCTGGGTCGAAACATGCATAATTATTAAGAACACGGCTTATATAAACAACAATTCTCGTGTGACAAATATAATATTGTCTCATTTCCTTGATCCTACTGGTGTTTCCGAGTTCTACATTATTTATATTGTTCTATACGTACAAAGCATATTACATTTTTAAAACAACACAATATATTATTGTTATTCTTGTTTTTGTTGTTATTATCATAGTGAAAAATATAATATACGCGTAGAACGTACGTACGGCAAATCTGTCGGATTTTTTACGGAAATTCGTTTCATTTCAATGTATTTACTCGTACAAGCGTAAAAATGTTTAATATTGTTTAAATGATTTTTTCAGTCTTATACACAAAAATCAAAATTCAATTGGTCATGGCATTACACGATAATTGCATACGTGTACGACGATAGAAAATAATATATCAATAGACGTTCATGACGAAATATGTAGCGATTGTATTGTTTTTTATTTGTTTATTTATTTTAGTTTTTATTTAGACTAAGAAAAAATGTTACRAATAAACTATAATTTAAACAAAAATCTTATTAAATTGTTAATTTTAAGGTAAGTATTATATTATAATTATTTGTTGAAATCAAATATTATACTGATTGTTGTACAAATTTATTGTTAAGTTTTCAATTCTCTTCCTATTTATATTATGCTCTTATAATATCTTATCTGAATAACATTATGTTAAGTACCTACCTACAATATACAAATTCCATCGATTAACAATCAATGTTGTTTTAATTTATGTTGTGACGATAAACAATACAGTATTCAGAAAATAAACAAAATAATACATATTTAAGAGAAAAATAACATTATTTTTATTTTTATATTATTATTAGGTATAATAATAAAATATAATGGAAATTAAAAAAATTAACAACTCACKCAAAATATAAAAAGAAATGTCAAAGAATAACACCATATTAATAATAATAAACACTAAATATSGTTGTTTTATTAAATGCAATTCAATTTGTATAAATTATTATAATAAAGTTTTTACAATGGCTAATCTTTTTTTTGAAAATTTTGATAAACGCGTTCAATCCTAGCATTCATTTAATATCCAAGTATTTTATTGTAACCTTTTTTATTAATTAATTTAATGTAACAAAAATATTGTAAATGTTATTTGTGGTCACTTTAGTCACAAACGTATTCTACACAATGATATTATTATTGCCCAAAAAAGTTACAATGGCATGCGTGTAGAATAATTATTTTATTGTTGTTTAGGTTTTGACCAGAGCATACTCGACAATAATGATGTTTGATCGGACCGGATATTCAAACATCCGAGTTCGTAATTTAATGCAAAAGGGCAAATTTCGACAGAAGCATACTAGGTACTTACATACAAACAATTTACATAATAATATATACGTCTTTATGTGCTTATATACAGCAACTGTGTTAATATATCGCAGTCGTACTTATGGGATAATTGAAACATTTTTAATTAAGACTCTTATGTGAGATGAGTATAATTTAGTCATTTAGTCGGATAAAGTATTAATATACCCACACATTCATCCGGGATACGCTCGATTTAAATTAAAATAATGACATCTATTCTCGCATTAGATGGAATAGGCTAACCCATACCAAGCAGAATATTATATTAYTCGGCAACGATTCATACCATTTCGATCGAATAAAACAACAAATTAGATTTCTTTTTCTTGAACAATAATATTATTATACTATATATCATACTCAATCGTCTGAATTTTTATTTAACTACGGGTATTATATAAGAATTTTCTAATAGGTGTAGGTATATAGATACATATACATATACGAGTATACAACGAAATGTGGTCCAAAAAATAGGTACACATTGAATAAGTCACTACCARATTTGAGGGACGGTTCACGCACACAAATAAATACTGTATATATATAAAGCAATATTGCGTTATCTCCTAGAACTGCCTATATATATATAATGTGATGAATGTGTGCGTCTTTTGTCCAAGACCGACAAGACAAGTGGAAAATTGGTCGCATTGAACTTGACAAAATAGCGTAAAAGAGATTTAACGCGTACGCGTTATAAAAGAACAGGTAATAATAATATATGGACCACAGCGTTTAAGAAATACTCATGTGTGTGTGTGCGCGCGCACCCGTGGAGGGAGAGATCTCTTTTACCACCAACAACAATTACAACGCGTTTAGGTATAATAACATGTATTATAACAGTGTATGACTAAGTGCAATTATTTATTTTTCTATTGTAGAAAAAATATGCGGAAATTTGTATATGTGATGTCATCGAAACAATATTTTCAATCGTGTATTTCACGTCAAAATAATAGATAGATACGGTACACGCATAATATTGTGATGGAACTCATGCAGAATACCTGTTGCAAAATAACATTATTGGCACAAAAACCGAGTACCGTGTTGAATACAGAAGCTGTGTATTTTGTGCTCGATCGTAATTGTTATTGTTTCGTTATTTCAGAATAACTTGAAATATATTTTATTTTTTATACTCCTACCTGGCTACCTATATACCACATAAAATATAAGTAGGTATGAATATATATTCCAAATATTGTCTTGTATATTTTATATCAGTTTAAACTATTGCTTAAGACAATATAAAACACTCGACGTCCCAAATAAAATGATTTTTTTTTTTGCTTTTCTATTTGTTTATGCTCTACTTTGTTTCCATTTTAAACTTTATCACTGAGCACATACAAGCATAAAAATAAAACCCCTCATATAAAATGTATGGTTTTTATTAGATTTTTTTCTCACAGGAAATTGKTTTTGAACAAGGAATTTATTTTTGATTTCAATTCGTATTACACTTGGTCAATGTTAATCAAATATGAATAACTTAAATATAATAACAAAACTAAAAAAAATAACGTGAACGTTAATATTCTTGAAATTATTTGTATCAAAGTTATAAAAAATAATTCTAATTTTGATTAATAAAGTTATTTTTTTATATTAAATACAAAATCTCAATTTATATTGAATAAAAATATTTGTACAGTTGAAAATAATATAATAATATTGGTGAATTCGTGTTTATATTTAAACATTGCGCATATAATAATTATAAGCCAACTGAACAGCTTATTATAATTTAATTAAATATATGAACACATAACAAACATATTGAAATTTAAACACCAAATATTATTTTAATTATAAAATAGAAAATCAATACCTCAACAACAATTTTAAAATTTCAATAGTATATTATATACGAACTACTTTTATTGTGTTTGGTATAAAAATAATATA